ACGTGCCCTAGCCATTTTTCGAGGTCAACACAAACCTACACACCCAAATCGGTTGCTCACTTGACTGCCCACAAAAGGTTAAGTATGAAGAATATTATAGCCACAAAGGCTGGAAAAGGAGAAGAAACAAAAGCACAAAAGCAGATAGCACGAAGCTAGGCAACCAAACCGTCGTTTTTTTTCTCAAAGTGTGGCTATCAATTTTCACACGCACTATAACAATAGTAATGGGGCACCAATATATATAAGGGTTGGGTATGAGCTTTTAGGTTTATGAAATAATGAGGCCCAATAGGAAATAAGTGGGCTGTCAACTAGATAAAAGTCATCCAAGTTTTGGGTTAGGCCACGAGTAACACTAATTTAATTAAGAGGAAATTACACCCACACCTGCTTTTAAATCACCATTTTCATAAATCCTGATTTAAGTTTCACATTACAAAAATCAGGTTTTGAATTAATAATTTAAAATTTTTTTATTTTTATTTACAATAAATTAATTTATATATACCCCCACCCAATCTACCCTAAACCCTAAAATCATTTTCCCATCCTCTCATCCCTTCCTCTCGTCTCTCTGCGACACCACGCCGCCGCCGCCTCCACCGCCATGCCAAGAATAGGACTCGTGAGTGAAGGCTGGGACCTTCAAATCTCATCACTCATCAGCTAACCTACTTAGTTTTCGGAACACCTAACGACAGATTTGCGGCGGATCTGTGGCTCTGTACAGCTGTCGTGGATCGACGATGGTGGTTGCCGCCGAGGACTCTTCTTTCATAGCAAATCTGAAGCGGGGTCGGAAGCGGTTGGGTTCTCCGTCTTCTCTCCGGCGTTCGAAGCCAACGGCGCGGATCTGTTATTTCCATCTCCTTTTTTTTTTAGTTTTCATTTTTGCTATGGCTGATATGTGGTTTTGATATTTTTTTTATTCCATTTTTTAGTGTGTTTGCGTTGTGGTGGCGGTTTGCAGTGTGATTTAGGTGGTTTTGTGGCGATTTGTGGCTGTAGCTGTGGGGGTGGTCGTGGCGGCGG